TTCACGAATGAGGACAGATTCTTTTAATCTTAAACAGGCGGCAGCAGACTCTTTCAGGTTTTACAGCATTGACAGGTTGTGATACGTATTTATATGTTCGGTTTGAAATTCAGATGAAAAGATGTGCAAATGAAATCCAAAATTTCTGTGACCTAACGTTAGAACTGTTAGGATATTTTGAGTAGCTTCCCTTTACATATACGAACTTGGATAACTTGCTGGGGAAAATATACCGATAGGGATAACACAATAGGTAAGTTTTTTGTGTTAAAGAACTGTAAATTATTTCAGTGAATGTTGGTAATGACACGACAATATTTGAGAACGTTTCTTCGTTTGAGCCATTTTGAATTTCAGCAACGTTAACGTTGTAAATCTGATGTATTCGTGCGCACTGTTTTAGATGCGTAAATTTAATAGATTAGGTGAAAGAAAGTTTCATTTTATTAATTTAAAATCATAATTAAATGATAAGAAATGAATGTAATATTTTTTCCTTTGATCGATGTATCAAAGAAAAATTTGGACGGAAAACTTTTTCATCAATGCGCTACGCGCATTTATGAAGTTTTCCGTCCAAATTTTTCTTTGATACATCGATCAAAGGAAAAAATATTACATTCATTTCTTAATTCCCAAAATATTGGGAGTTCTTTACAATACAATTATAGTCAGGTATAGTTATGGGAGAGTTATTTTACCTCCCACTAATTTTCTCCTACAGGCTAATTCAATATAAATAGTAAAAAGTAATAATAAAATATGTTACAAAATTCATCAGCTCCCCAAAATTGATTAATTAATTATGTCACAATAATTTCCCGTCGATATCGCTCCCAGCCTTGCTGGCGATGCGGTGATCGAACCTATTCTGACCTATTCTAAACCCATTCTGACTGTCAGTCGATTTGCGCTGGCTTATATTGGCATCGGGCTCGATTGTCGTGACGTCACGACAAAGTGAAAATACCCGCCATGCTTGTTAGTTGATATGCTGCCATGCCGATCGAACCGACGAAAGGAAACACGCACCCTAGGGCGCGGATAATTATTGTGGGAAACATTCATAATACTTATCGCTGATGGACTTTGTAAGCATAAACAAAACAATCATAAACAGTTGAAGCGTGACTTGGGAATGTAAAGATGTCGAGGAAATTCGGGCGTCACTAATTACCGACCTCGTCCCAATTTTACACTTGGTAAATATACAATGTTGTTGATGAAATTAAACATACAATAAATTAAACATGAATTTGTCATTTTATGGACCAGTATATATTGCAGGGAGTTTTTGTTTAACTTGTACTATGTATTTCCACAGAAAATGTTACTTATAGTAACGGGAATAATTACGGAACCGTAACATAAATTTGATGAATTATGGCTCTGTCATTCTTGAGAAGAAGATTTTTAAAGAATTTTCCTAATAGGATATATTTTTATGTAAAACTTTGGTCGGGCCATTTTGGCTCCGCCCTACCCCCGGAAGTCATGATTTGAACAAACTTGAATCTTCACTACCTAAAGATGCTTCCATATAAATTAGATGAATTATGGCTCTGTCATTCTTGAGAAGAAAATTTTTAAAGAATTTTCCTATATATTTCTATGTAAAACTTTGGTCGGCCATTTTGGCCCCTCCCTACCCCCGGGGGTCATGATTTGAACAAACTTGAATCTTCACTACCTGAGGATGCTTCCATATAAATTTGATGAATTATGGCTCTGTCATTCTAATGAGAAGAAGATTTTTAAAGAATTTTCCTATATATTTTTATGTAAAACTTTGGTCGGGCCATTTTGGCTCTGCCCTACCCCCGGGGGTCATGATTTGAACAAACTTGAATCTTCACTACCTGAGGATGCTTCCATATAAATTTGATGAATTATGGCTCTGTCATTCTTGAGAAGAAAATTTTTAAAGAATTTTCCTATATATTTCTATGTAAAACTTTGGTCGGCCATTTTGGCCCCTCCCTACCCCCGGGGGTCATGATTTGAACAAACTTGAATCTTCACTACCTGAGGATGCTTCCATATAAATTTGATGAATTATGGCTCTGTCATTCTTGAGAAGAAGATTTTTAAAGAATTTTCCTGTATATTTCTATGTAAAACTTTGGTCAGCCATTTTGGCCCCTCCCTACCCCTGGGGGTCATGATTTGAACAAACTTCAATCTACACTACCTGAGGATGTTACCCCATAAGTTTCATCTTTCCTGGCACAGTGGTTCTTGAGAAGAAGATTTTTAAAGAATTTTCCAATATATTTCTATGTAAAACTTGGATTCCCTATTGTGGCCCCGCCCTACCCCCGGGGGGTCATGATTTGAACAAATTTGAATCTACACTACCTGAGGATGTTACCCCATAAGTTTCATCTTTCCTGGCACAGTGGTTCTTGAGAAGAAGATTTTTAAAACATGCCACCAAATTTTCATTACTTCCCAATTATCTCCCCTTGAATGAGGGCGTGGCCCTTCATTTGAACAAACTTGAATCCCCTTCACCCAAGGATGCTTTGTGGCAAGTTTGGTTGAAATTGGCCCAGTGGTTCTTGAGAAGAAGTCGAAAATGTGAAAAGTTTACAGACAGACAGACGGACAGACGGACGCCGGACAAAATGTGATCAGAAAAGCTCACTTGAGCCTTCGGCTCAGGTGAGCTAAAAATACAGTCATGTACAATGTACAGTAAAACTCGTTCAGTACGAACATAGATATTGCCATATTTCAGGGATGTAACAAAGTTATCTTGGATTCCCACCTATATACAAAAATAACAAAATCCTTATATGAATATATTTCCATTTCTAATTTTTTTCTCTGCGATAACTCTTTGAAAGTTGTCGGAGTTTATTTCTTGATAATTCTGCCGGAATGTAAATTAGGCAGGTCGATAGGTCAGGAGCTAAGGAGGCCTAAAATGCATGCAAATCTCGTGCGCATCTGTCTCTATGTCTGACGCTAAGGAGGCAAAATGTGCATGTAAATTCGTGCGGCTGCCTAGGTGTTTGATGTCAATGGGCGAGGACTACTGAAATTGGCATGGAAGTCCTCATGTAATTTAAGTCTATGTCTACATTTTTAAAGTCTTAATCTACCATTTTATTTCGCACTGAAATGAAAATATAAGGAATCACTGTCTAGTTAGGAGAGTATGCCAGGGACATCAACAAAAGTGGGAAACATGGGATAATTTAAGCATAACGGGCTTCACCCGTTATGCAAATTATCCCATGTTTCCCACTATTGTTGATGCCCTGGCATACTCTCCTAACTAGACAGTGATTCCTTAAATAACCATCGAATTACTGATATGGCAAAATAATTTTATAGGTCCCAGTGATATGGTCATAACCGAGTTTTACTGTACTTCCAAACAAAGACACATTTTGACAGTACATAAATAAAGAGCACATCAGAGGACAAAAATCAATAGAAATTGAAAATGATCCAAACGTATATGTTTTAATGATCATATTTGTCATGGACTGTTCAAGAGAATGAGTATTTCTTGAAAACAATATAATTCTTCTGCACAAACAAGTATCTTTTCTACATTATTTATAACATGAACTGTTAATCAGTAAATCAAGTATTACTAATTTAATTACTGTAAACCAATTTTTATTTGCAACATCTTTTATTTATTTTGGAATCCATCCATGACTAATAATTTTCAAGATTGAAGCACCTTCATTTAGGTAAATGAATGGTTCGCTATGACTACTTTTTAGTATAATCATGTAAAAGAAGACAGACAGACTTATGGGTATTTCTCATTCATGAGTAAAAGTACATGTGTATATAGGTTTATGGAACTAGTATCTTGTAGCACTTCTAGCAGATGATTTACTTATAAAAAAACAAAAAAAAAACAGATAAATGTAGTATTTAACTCATGTTCACCATAATTATGCATCTTGCATGTTTAGTGATCATATAATTTTTACGTTGAAAAGTTAAATCAAATTGAGAAACAGCTAATTAATACATGTAGTTACATATATATCATCAAAGAAAATAATATTCAATAACTGATATCATTAGTTTAATACATTAATTGTCTAAGGCTACAAATAAAACTTTTTTTTCAAAAAAAATATCTAACTATTAAGTTAGACCCGTTTTTAAATTAATATCTTCTTGGTTTTGGGGAAAAGGGGGGATGGGGGGTTACAGTGCTATGTACATGCACAAACAACCAAGTACATAATAACTATTAATCACATTTCATGGGGTCAAATTTTTGTGGTTTGAGGAAAAAAATTAGTTCAATGGGCTTTGATTTCCTTGTAAATCCTTGTTAAAGAAATATTTGTTGAGATGTTATGTTTTTTTAAATAATATTTGAATTTCTTTTCACATGAAAACAACAAAAATTAAACCCCCATGAAAATTGGCAGTTTAAAGTTTTCTGTGTTGCAGAGCTAATATCAAATCACAATGAGTAATAAAAAACTGGAAATTAATATCAACAGAAAAAAACATACATGTATAAAATAAATAGACTCAACAATATTTGGAATAATAAAAAAGACATTTTAGAAAGTCATGTCACTCGGCTAAACAACTACAAATTAATCATTTTAAAAAAAATGGTAATTTTTTTTCTTTTTTTTTTCATGACTGTAAGCAAATCATACATGTATCACGGCTTACATGTAAATGACAAAGCAAATTTGAAAAGCTATTAATTCTGGAAGTAAAATGAATTTACATACATTTTTTGACATACAGTACAAAAATAAATTTTGTAAAAAAAAATATCAAATGTGTCATGACCCAATTTCCAATCTATGTAGACAAAGAAATAAATAATAATAATTTTAATAATAAATCGCAATACAGAGAGGGAGAAAATAACAGTTTTTAATAAGCCAACATCTAAGGGAAAATCAAATTAAAAATATGTAATACGTGGGAAATTTTCGAACATGTCCAGGAGAAATGAAAATTTCCATTTTGCAGGAAACATTGTGCATATCGGTACAAGTATGTGTATATGTTAAAAAAAATAGATATTCCTTATTCAAAAAACAGTTGTACTATACACAATATTTAATATAACACTATTTTGACAGCTCTCTTCCGGGAGTGGACATTTTCAACAAATTAAAAAAAAACAACTTTGACTAATTTTCATATAGAAGTTCAGTGTTCTATATTATTCAAAAATGTTTTTTTAAAAAATATAATCAATGGTATGTGTATAAAATATGCAAAATACAACATGTTTAAACAACATTACATAATATCCCTTTCTTTAAACAATTCATCCAAACTGTTTTCCATGGCCTGATTCGTTCCCTTTAGTCCATCGACAACTTTTTTGGCCCACTGGAAATACTCTTTTACCCGGCTTTCTTGCCATCCACAAGGTGTGCATCGATTGAGATCTCGCAGATTGTACAGCTTGTCCGCCAGCTTGACCAGCTTAGCTTTGTAGCTCGTGTGCGGAGCATGGTCTATCTGTTGCTGCTTCCGTTCAAGCTTGGGAAGATTTTTGTCATCAGTTACTTCTCTAACAAGACCTGAAAAATGAAAAAAGGAACATAGATATTTACAAAATGCATGTAAAGCTGGGGATTATAGTCTCCGCCTGAGGTTTAAGATTGAGTCACAGATCTGAGGGGGTTTTTTGGGGGGTGCAGGTGGGGGGAGTAGGGGAGATCATCACAATCTCCTTCTTTCTGTAATATTACAATGTCATTTAATCTATTTTTGGAGAGGAAATTCTCTTATGTTTTATTTACATGAACTGATATTAGAAGAATTTTGGACCAAATGAATAAAAATGCTGATCCTCAATTCCCCTATCCATTCCCCTCCCCCACCTCTCTCTCTCTCTCACTCTCTCTCTCTCTCTCTCCATTTTTTTTACCTGTGACCTCTTCCCCAAAATTGTCCAAAATTTCTTCAAATGTGGTGTTAGTATCTTCCACTGTGTCATGGAGTAGGGCTGCCTGTTGATATAAATACATATATTTAGTTGATTGATATTTAAGTGCGTGTTACACTAATGTTTAACTTATTCATTGCATGGTTGCGGAGTGATTGAAATATTCATGCAGGATAATTTATGATACATAAATACACCTCATAGTAATAACATATCATGTTGTATAGTGCTTTATATTGTTTTACATTACAATTTCAATTAGTACATGTAATTGTAAAAAGGACATGAAAATAGACCATAAATCATATAGATCAAGCAAGTTTATACAAATAATCATGTTTATATGCCAATTCAAAACACGCAATTATCTAAAAGCAGGTATAAAAATTAAATGTAAGCAACAAGCCATGCATAGTAATTTAACGTTAATATTTTGGTAGAAAAATGTTTTTTTTTTACATGAATAACAGCTAGTAGTATTCTGAACATATATTTCAATATGGTGCAAAAATACATGTACCCCACTGTGAGTAACCAAAAACATATTTTGTGCCACTGTATATTACAGTCAAACTTGTCTTAGCGGCCACCCGAAATCAACGGCCACTCGCGGTCAGCGGCCACTTTCAGTTCCCCCCGATGATTTTTCCTATATATTTTAACTGGAATAAACGGCCACCTGTGTAACGCGGCCAGCGGCCACTCAAATCCTCCCCCAACAGTCTTATTGACACTGTAATAGGGGGCCATTTCGTCACTTGTTGCGATTCTATCACATCTTTTAAACGTGTTAGCTTGGGTAATTATATCCTCGATAGTCAATTTAACCTATTAATGCAATTAAACAAATTGTTTTTAGATACGCTGAACTCTGTTTGTGTTTATGAAAAAAAATATTTGTCCTGTTAAATCAATTTGTAATTATTTTTCAAGATCGCCGATTGAAAAATTAAAAGAAATTAATTACTTCAATTGATACTTTTCTCTAGCTAAAGAAATTCACACCTTTTAGATTTTGATTCCATGTAGAAGCCCTTATTGCTATTCTTGTAAAAACAAAGTGCTTCATATGACATGATTATCTCGTAAATTTCACCAAGAAGAGAGGATCGATAGGGATTAGTCACGCTCTACTGCATTTGACACCTGTGTTATGATGATTTTCAACTGCGTAAATACATCTCTCTGGTCAACTGGTTAATTTTATTTGTGTGTCTGTATATGTTAAATAGAAATTATGACAGCTTTATAACCAATAAAATTAATCAGACTTCATAAACTTCAGCAAGTAAGTTAATTACCGATTAATTAAGTTGAGGGGGACGGGGGCGGGTTACACTGCTGACTATCTTTTTAACATACACTGTATATGTAAGTAAAATTTTTATTGACATATTTTTACTTAAATTCCTATGCTTTATTTTATTTACCATTACACTGTATTTTTGTGTATTTTTTTCTTTATAAAAGGATAATAGTCAGCCACTGTATGTATTTATTAAAATGAAAATTAAAAGAAAGTATTTAATAATTCAATGTAACAAAAGCACACTTATGAATGCAAGTTATGTTTAACTAATATGTAGGAACAGAAACATGCACAAAACCTTAAACATTTCGAATCCTTTAATATTCTTTTTAAATGAGCTTGAATTATTATATATACACATAAAAAGCTTTCAAGAAATTGAACTGTTTAATTATGATTGATTAATTTAACTGTACTGCTTAATGTTGTTTATTTATTGACCAAATGTCCTTTTCGAGGGCAAACTGGAATAAGAGGCCACCTGTCTTAAGTGGCCAGTTTCCGGACTTCCCAAATGTCGCCTCTTAAAACAAGTTTGACTGTAATTGCAATATTTTGTACTCTACTCAATAAATTATATATTTTGTGCCACTGTATATTAATTCCAATATTTTGTACTCTACTCAATAAATTATATTGTACCTTTAGTTACATAGACATTTAATGCATTGCACCTGACAACTGACATATTGCACTCTACCTAAGCATTAAGATATTGCACTGTACCTTGTTACTGATATTGCACTGTACCTGACATTAGTTATTACATTGCACCTGACAATAGACATATTGCACTCTACCTGTAAGCATTAAGATATTGCACTGTACCTCGTAACTGATATTGCACTGTACCTGACATTAGATATTGCACTGCAACCTGACAATAGATACAACACTAATAAAACCTTCAGACAAGATTTACACATGAAATAATGAATGGCATTGTACCTGAATAACTGCTACATCTGTTATACCTGCTTCTTGTGTTAGAATATTCGCCACACCTACAAAAAAATGGAATAACATAACAATCTCAAATTACTTGTATAATTCTATTTGCCATGTGAGAGAGAGTGAGAGAGGATTGATAGAGAAAGAATATTATGGACCTGGATCCCTTTACCTCTAAGAGAAGTGCTTTAACATCTTTACCAGCAGAGCTATTTAATATGGCATTCAATCCGTAATAACTGTAAACCAACTTTTATTCAGGTCTTCTTTTATTCGCGATTTTTCAGTTTAGAATAAATCCGCGACAATTAATTTTCACAAATAATTAAGGAAACATATTGTCTACAAAAAAGTTGAAATAAATGGTTTGCAGCAATTAATATTCGTGACTTAAAGTAGGTCACAAAACTCACGAATATTTCTTGCACACCTATAAAAGTTGGTTTACAGTACTGTAAATAAATTTTGTCTGCAGCCACATGCCTCCCTCTCTGTAAGATGTATTTGCCACGTACCCCCCCCCCCCCCCCCAACTCCCCCAACCACAACCAGGTTTTTTTCCTGGAGGTTTTTCATTGGTCATCTTTTTTTCGTAGTTCTATTTGACAGCTAGTTCTGGCACCAAAAGTATATAAAGGAAAGAATTAAGAGAAAACAATATATCTCATCAGGATTCAAAACTCATGGATCCCTTTACTATACATATGTTTTCTGTACTCAACAAAACACCTGCCACCAAGAAATGAGTTACACTAGCTGTCTGACCTGCTCATTAACAAACAAATGAATTTCTAATATTGCGTAGAATGTGTTAATTAGCATACGTAACAGCCAAGAGAGTTAGGAGAAAAATGAAGTGGACTGGAAATGGGAATTTGAACCTAATGGTCCCAATGAGTGAGCTATCTGGCTAGTTCTGAGTAATCAACACCCTCTGACTGCCACATATCTCACACCTTTAAGGTCCTCGGCCGCTAAGAGCATGAACCCAGTATGTTAATTACACATTGCAGCCCGTTATGGCACTAAATATTTATACACTGGAGAGGAGAAAAATATAAATTTGTTTAGCAGACTGGGATTCAAACTTGGGTCCTTCCTGTGAGGTGCTCTACCAATTGAGCTAACTGGCCACTGGAAATTGAAAACGTCTGACAGCCACACATAGTGGGTAACCAACAAAACAAAAACTTCATTAGCTTTCGTCTCCTTATTTCAGTCTCACTTCCTGAACAAAATTTCCTTATTTGTTACAAATTATTATGTAATTGTTTACGTATACAAGAAAATGAACTAATGAAGGAGTCCGTATAAAGGAGAAGAACTGTGTGCATGCATTGCTGATAAGGGGTCCTGTGAAAATTAAACTGTTCATAAAACAATATTCAAAAATAAATTTTTATCACCTATTGGATGATTAATGTATGGTGTGCCTTCTTTATCTTTTCTTCTTTGATCTTTATGTTTAATGGCTGCAAAATTTGAACAACGGATAATTTCTGAAACTGCTGACATGATATTTTTTCGTTTTTCCTGTTTGTTTAATTATCACCGAGGAAATTCGCGACGATGACGGTTTACGGCATGACTGGATGACGTAAATCATATTTTAGATAAATGATGGTATAATATTATAGCATAAAGAAGAAGATTCTGTTAATACCTGTTTAAAACTAGCTTTAAAATGTGATTTTTAATACTTTTATGGTCTTGATATTGTCATAAAAGTCAATTCCCGCCAGAAATCACAGTCTCGCGTGATTTCGCGATCGCAAAATTTATGATGGCGGCTCACATTGTGAAGATTTGTTCTAAAATATTTCATCGATAATCGGAGATAATTACGCTTAACTGTGTAGACGCGTTTTTTTTACTTTCTTTTGTGTTAATGCAAGTGAAAACCTAGCCGTGAGTTTTATGCATTTAAGTTTATAGAGTACATCGGTTTTAAGAACACTGATTATCATTTTTCTCTGCCGATAGTAAACTAAAGATGGCTAACATTAAAACTGATTACCAACCTATGGATAAAATATTTGCCAAAATGAAGGGATACCCTCATTGGCCAGCTAGGGTAAGTGCTCATGTACTAATTCTATGTGTTAATGCATATATTTCTGTCGTAGTTAACTACCATGGCCATGTGGTTAATTTGCAAATTATATTGATGTTATCATCCAAAGTTGTTTCTGGTCCTTTTATGGGAACATGCAGTTGAACACTCACTATTTTAATGCAGGCTATAGTAAAGCCATATTGCATGATAACTTTGTCGAAGTGGTTTGAAGCTATTTATGTATGCATGTAATGTTCACAATTACTGTAAATAAACTTTTATTCGTATGCGAGTAATATTTTCGAAGATTAATCGTCGTGAAATAGCAATCATTTTGCTTAGTTTTTGTAGAGAATGTTTCCTTAGTCACAAAAATTGATTGTCTGAGATTGATTTTAAACTGATGAATCGCGAATAAAAGATGACGGGAATAATGGAATAATAGTTGGTTTACATTGTTATGTCAATTGAATGATTATCATAGACAGTGCAACATACAGTAAGAATCTTTAGATGTAACTTTTTTCATTTGAATTTCGATCCAACTTTCAGAGCTGTGGAAAACTTTTTCAGATAGCCAGTCATTCAGACCGGCAAGAAGACAAAATATGCCGGTCCGAAGTGATTTTTGCCGGTCTGAAATAGTATAGTTGCAAAAATGAAAAGAAAAGCATTACATTTATTTTCTTAAGTACACTTTACTTAATAAAACATTAAAAAAGTCTTCATTTCCAAGTCTTCCTTTTCGTTTTTTTGCATTTATAACAGTTACTAGATTGCATCACTTTTTGACAGGTAACAATGATAATTCTGCATAATAAACATAATTGTTTTTAAAACATTTTTGCATTTGGGAATTATATTTTGCCTCGAAAATGAGTCTAAGAAACTCTGTGCATCGATAATAAAGATACCAATATCATGAACATGATCGATGAAAAAAACGAAATCTGGGACAGTCGAAACGACGGAAGTATTAGGTTTACCGCTTTACTCAACTGTGTTTGAATTTTTTTCTGTCAAAATGTTTTTCATACCCAGCTATTTAGCCTGTGTTATCTTTTTTTAAGATGTTTTTTACCTAATTCTGTCCCATTTGTAAATTTAAAAGGTCATGCGAGACAATGCTGGTTTCGCTTTCATTTCCTATAGCCTCGATCTCGTGCAAAGAAAAAGTATTGCGTAATCGTTTATAAGGTACGATAACCTAGCTGGTAATAATCTCAGCGAGATGTCGTAGGGACTAAAATATTTGGTCGGACATCCACTACGAAGTGGACGTCCGACCAAATATTTTAGTCCCTACGACATCTCGCTGAGATTAAGCTGGGAAGTGTGCAGCTGATAGGCCTAAATCAAAAACCTTTAACAAAGAAAGAGGTCGGTCATTTGGGCCGACATCGATAGCATTTTTACCGGTCACAGGCATTTTTTGCCGGTCTTGCCGGCATGACCGGCAGTTTTCCACAGCTCTGACTTTTCAAACTACTCAGAAAACATTTTGAAGTCAAGGATGAAAAAGAAATGTGGATAAAAATTTCCCTGTATACATGTTTAGTAATATTAAGTTTCTTCTATTGCAGATTGACAAGCTGCCTCCAGGAATTGACAAAGCACCTAAAGGAAAATTTCCTATCTTTTTCTATGGAACTCATGAAACGTAAATCTAAAGAAGTTATTGAATGAAATTAAAATATTGAAATTAGTTATCCAAATAAATTTACAAACAAATGTTAATTCAAATTTACAGTGCTTGTTGTAATGATTGTAGTGTTTATTCTAATTACTTTGTACATCATGTCGTATTTTGTGCATTATTTAGACTGAGCAGGTATTAATACTGTTTAATTTAATTTTCAGAGCATTTCTTGCACCTAAGGACATTTACCCCTATGACAAATACAAAGAGAAATATGCCAAACCACAGAAGAGGCTGGGGTTTAATGAAGGATTGTGGGAAATTGAAAACAACCCAACAGTGGTGTTCATGGGAAATGTAAGGAAACCATTGCGAAGTTTTAATATTAGCAAAACTTTGCCAAAACATTCAAAATGATGCCAGAAGAGAAGTCATATATTCTTTTCAATACTTCTGTTGTTTGGGCAGTTGTTATAATGTCAAAGTATGATATTATACAAATGTTCATGATACACAATCTTAATGAAAGAAATCAAAAATCTGCCAATTTTTTCAAAAACAGAGCACATGTATTAGACATTCAGTCTATTCGCTTTAAAGGTAGACAATAATACATAGAGGCAGTCAATAGGCTTGTTATAAATTCACACATACGTTAATTTTCATTCCCCATAGCTTTAAAATGTATTTAAAAATTATTGGAATACATATACAAGATTTTATAACAAATCAACATTGTGTTTTCTAGGCTCTAGGGCATTTCATTAAAATGATAAGATCACATTTAAAGCATTAATCTATTTTGTAGCAACAACAAGAGGCAGAATCCCCCGAGGCAGAAGAGGAAGAAGATGAGATGGCCATCGATGAAGAGGAAAAACCACTGAAAGGAAAAAAGGTGAGGGGGACACCCCCACCCTCCAAATACTTAAAACTCAAAATAGAAATATGCAGAGTTAAGACTGAAGCTAGCTCTGAGAAGAGGTTTAGAATATTTGTTTCATTTACAGAAAGGAAAATTAGGAACATGATATTCAATTAAAAGTAAGTGTTTGGGGTGGGATGTTGGAAGGGGGATTAGAGCAGAAATCTCTCTGTCACTGCTTTTCACAGAAATCTTGCAATGAAAATGTTTTAAGTTGAATTCTATGTAAAGCAAGGTGACCACATTGTCAAAGGAGTTATCAATTTAAAAAAATAATACAACTTGTTGGGAATGGTATTTGTTTTAGAAGTAAGAACTAAGAAAAAAAGGAAGCAAGGTTCTCACTCCACTTTTGGGGAATAGGGCTGGGGCCATAAAGTTAGAAGAAAAACATCTTTTTGGGAAATTTTTGGATAACCATTATATACTTTAAAATCAAGATATACTGCTTTTCTGGTCTTTGTTATCAATAATGACCCCAGGCCAGTTTTAGACAATTGAGAGCCCTGGGCAAGTAAAGCTTTTGGAAAGAAAGCTATACTAGACAAAAAATGTTAAGGAAGGAGTAAAATATAATGGTATGGGGAAATTTCTAAATACTATTTAGCCCAGCAGGAAAGGACAATGATCGGAAAGATGTCTCATTAATATACAGGAGAGGTCAAAGATAAAATCAGTTACTGAATTGCTTCTTTGTTTTATAGAAGCAAGCAAAACCAAAACCAGCCCAGAAAAGAAAGAAGCCAACCACTGGGGTAAGTTGTAATGTTCTGAGTATTTTACTGAGAATATAGCTTAGGATTTTAAATACTTAAACATATGCATGTACATGTAGTTTTACTGAGTGTCAAAATATGAATTTACTGATGTAATGAGTTAAGAGCAACTATATGGGAATGGTGTATTTAGTGGGTGAAAAATAGTATAATGACACTTATGTTCACACATTATGATGTGTTCAAAATACTTGCCATGATTGATGATTTTTTTGTTTTTTAGGGTAAGCCAGCTAAGAGAGCCAAGAAAGAGAAAGTGGTGGAGGAGAATGAGGAAGAGGAGGAGGAGGATTTAGATGAGGAGGAAGAGGAGTCAGGTCCCTCCTCAGATAACCCTGAGGATGAGGTACAGTAATAAATAGCAACAAGTTTTGTGACCTTTAGCATGTTCAGCTCGCAAATATTGATTGTCGTGAATCATTTACATGTATTTTTTTATTTAATTGTACAAAAATTTCCTTAGGTCGCCAAAACTAATAAAAAGTCATGAATTGATTTAAAACTGCCGAAATCACAAAAAAAGATGATGCAAATGATAATTGGTTTACAGAGCATCGTAGTAAAAACACTTCTGTTAACCATTATATGTGTCATCTTTATTCATGATTTGTCAGTTTTAAATCAATCTGCAACAAATTATTTTCACGACTGAGGAAACATTCTCTACAAATACTAAGCAAAATGATTGTTTCGGGACAATTAGTATTCGCGATTTACAGTAGATTGTGGAACTCGTGGATATTTCTCGCACACAAATAAAAGTGCAGTTTACAGTATACATGTATATGAAACAAAGTATAACATGGATATCATGAATTTAGGCTTGTAGTGAAGTGATATTCATAATCCATTCCCAGTGGATAAAAAATGTTTGTGACCTGAACAGATATAAAAAGTTACTCTTCTAGCTAATCTAAATTGTTGGCTCCTGACACTTGCATCTTTATGTGTGTTTTACTGTATATTAAGATAAATTGTAATTTATTCAATACATATGTACCAGGATACACTGAAATGCAGATAAAACTTGATTTTTAAGAAAAATTATGAAATAAATACCGTATAAGTGGAAATTTTAGTGAGAGGTAAATTTAGGGAATTGCCCTTAAAAATTCGTATTTTATTTTTAGCGATACTTAATTTTAGCGATTTTTAAATACTCACAAAAGAAGCTATTAAAGATAGAACGCAATTAATTTTTTGTGATATTCAATTTTAGCAATCTAAGCACCCTCGATAATAATGCCAAAATTAAATCCTCGCTAAAAATTCTGCTTTTACAGTATGGTAGCGCCATATAAAAGGTTTGATGTCTATCTTTTCTGAATAGGATTTTGAACTGGAAGAGAAACCAAAAAAGAAAACCCCTCCAAAGAAAAGAGGGAGAAAGAGTGCCAGCAAGAAGGCAGCAGAATCAGATGACAGTGAAGAAGAAAAGGACGAGGAAAGTGAAGAGGAAACAGAGGAGAAAGAGAAGAAACCGAAGAAAGCCCCAGCCAGGCCTCGGAAATCAACCACCACACCTCCCAAAAAGGGTAAGGGGGATTATAAACAAAAATAGAAATGTAGACAATTGTATTGATATGATAATGTTCTAATTCTGAGAGAGAAGAGTGTGTCTCAAGTTGCATATATAGTACATCAACTATTATACTGTGTATCTTTTTTCGGCCATTTGTTATATTTTACATGTATTTGGGCACAATTAATTAAAAACATTTGTGTTTCATTAAGACATACACTATAAGAGTTTCTTTCCTTATTACATATATTTGTTCAATTTTTGTCAATAATTTGTTAATTTTTTCAATTACTTAGTTGTAGGAAGACCTTCAACTGGAGGAAAAAAGAAAGCTGCCAACAAAGTTGTATCCAGTGACAGTGAAATCAGTAGTGACAGGTATGACTGTGTTCACTTTGTCTGTCTGTTTGTCTTCTGTTTAAAGTTAATTGAAGAATTTTTCAAAAGAAAATGAGAGCCTCTCTAAAGGCTTCAAGCATTGCACTGATAACTGGCTGAAAATTTACTATATGTTCGAAGGTTTAAATAGTTTTATTATACCCCCGCAAACGAAGTTTAGGGGGGTATATTGGAATCACCATGTCCGTCTGTCTGTCCGTCTGTCTGTAGACAAGATTTTGTCCGGACCGTTTCTCAGAAACTGTTGGATGGATTTGTCTGAAAATTTATACACTTATTATTCACCATATGAAGGTGTGCACCTGGTATTTTCATCATGATTGGATGATTTTTCTGCATTTTACAGGCATTTTTTCTTTTTTATTTTGTTGTTTTGTTTGGCTCATAACTAGAAAACTATTAGACTTACAATCATCAAACTTGGACAATTTATGCATCTTGGGTAGACGGTGTGTCACGACCTATTTCAAGGTCACTGTGACCTTTAATTTAAGTGATTTTTTTTTAAAAAACTAAGTCTTTAAAATTTTAAATTTCATAATCCTAAAAAATGTAAAAATATAGTTGTATCCTTATTAAAAAATGCTAAATTAAGTAAAAACTTATTTTTTATCATATACTTTACAGCAAATTCTATAACAAATGTTAATGATTTGAGAGGAATTCAGTTTGTCCCATGGGCATAATTATGAAGCACTGGTCAAGGAGAATTTTTGATAGCAGAAATGTGCATGTCAAATTAGAGAGAAATTAATGAGTTCATTGTCCGGAGTTAACTGGCAAGAGCATCTCTAGATCTAATCTTAATTTATCTCTTGGGAGTTGGGCAAAAAGAAATGGCCTTATAGTTGCTTGTGTTAATTAAAAGAGTTCTTGATGGCTGTAGTTCAGATAAAGATCTTTCAATTGGTGTAATGTAATTAAAACAAATTGATGTTTTAGTGTATGATTAAAACTGAATTAGTATTGTATAATATAATTAAAATTAATTATACATGTGTTCATTGAAAAAAATTACATTTCAATTTTTATATATTTGCAACAAATTGCAGTCATGTCTCACTTAGAATTTTATAGTCTAAAGAATAATTAATTTTTGATTTTTTTTTATTAGACTGTAGCATTTCCATTATTTCATAAAATATGCAAGAAACAATTTAAAGCGGCAGATGGATATTTGTTAAGCTCTAACACAGCCAGTTTAGAATTATATGATGTATTATTTGTTTTAATTAATCCCTACACTGTAAGTTTCTTAGAGATGTATGTACAATATTTTAAACATGATAAGAAATGGAAATTAGATCATTGAAATCTGTGTCAATCTGTTAATCAAAGGTTACTTAATTTTCTTGCAACCTAACCAATTTATGATTATCGAACAATATTTGATGGGCGTATCATGCTGTGGCAAGGCACTATATTAGACAATAGTGAATACCTCTTACTAGATCCATAAAATATTTCTGAATTGGCACCTACTCTGAAAAACCCAGCGGGGGTATTTGTCCCTATTGGACAGTTCTAGTTTTATTTTACCATTAACACAATATAATGATGAAAGGTTAAACCTTGGTATCTTAAACACTGATATCTTCAATACCATGACTATGACAAGATGATTTTGAAATCCCAAATACATATTCTCTCTGTATTTGAACTTTGGATTTCCCGTTGGCAAATATCTGAATATCTAAAAGTTGTTTTCTCTTGCTCATGGAGTTTGAGATAGCGAAGTTTGACTGAACATAATATACCTGAACGGAGGAAGAATCTTAGCTCTTATTTCTATATCTGTAGTGATTCTGAAGAAGAGGTCAGCAGTTGGAAGAAAAAAGATGAGGAGAGGAAGAAAGCAATGGAGAAAAAACTCAAAGAAGCTGAGGAAAAGTAAGTTTTTATTGCAGGATGGGGATGGGGGTGATAATGTTTAATTTTGTTGAGGTAGGTGGAAAAAAAATTTTTCAAGAAAATTTCAACATGCTTGCTGTTCATACATGTTAGACGACAACATTCTAAGAAAAAGAATTTTAAAAAATAATGCTTCTTGCAAGTTAAAAAAAAGTTTTGTGTCGGCTATATTAAGCTAATCAGTCAGGTAAAGAATAATTTTTTTACGCCCCCCATCGAAGAAGGGAGGGCATATCGCTTTGCTGCTGTCTGTCGGTCAGTCTGTTGGTCCACTTAGTTTCCGTTCATTTTCTTTGCAACTGTTGCACATACTGAAATGAAATTTGATATACAGATATATCACATGAATATCTAGGTTCAAGTTTTGTTTTGGGTACGATCGCATCATTTTTGACAGAGTCATGCCCCTTGGACTTAGAAAATTTTCAATTATTTGCAGTTTCCGTTCATTTTCTTTGCAGCCATTACATATACTGAATAGAAATTTGATATACAGATATATCACATGAATATCTAGGTCAAATTCTGTATGGGGTACAACCGCACCATTTTCGACAGAGTTATGCCCCTTGGACTTGGAAAATTTTTCAATTATTTGCAGTTTCTGTTCATTTTCTTTGCAACCGCTGCACAAACTGAAATGAAATTTAGCGTACAAATTTATCAGATGAATATCTAGGTCAAATTTTGTTTTGGGTACGATTGTACCATTTTTGAAAGAGTTATTCCCTTTTGGACTTGGAAAAATTCCAATTTGGGGGGAGGGGTGCATAAGTGTTTTACAAACATCTCTTGTTAGATAATGAATTAGTAAAAAACGAAAAAACAACCAAATAAAAAAAGACTGAATTGAATATTATTTTTTTGTCCATAAGAAATGCCTATTTAATTTCCTTAAGTTCCAAAATAACTTAAGGAGGATATGATTTATAACAGGAGGAAGAAAGAGGAGGCGGAGAGGATTAAAGCCATCCGAGCGGAACAGAGACTGGCCGCAAAAGAGGAGGGGGAAGAAGATCAGGAGGAGGAGGACGAAGAGGAGGAGGTAAAGCCGAGGAAGAAGTCCAGGAAAAACAAGGAAGAAGACAAGGTAAGCCAGGGCCAGGTATCAGGGTTCAAAAGACCTTAATTTGGTTTGTGAGTTCCTCTACTTTTTATGGCCCCTTCAAAGTAGGGAGGACATATTGCTTTGCTGCTGTCTGTCGGTCGGTCCACTTAGTTTCCGTTCATTTTCTTCACAACCGTTGCACATACTGAAATGAAATTTAGTATATGGATATATCACATGAATATCTAGATCAATTTCTGTTTTGGGTACGATCACACAATTTTTGACAGAGTTATGCCCCTTGGACTTGGAAAAATTCCAATTATTTGCAGTTTCCGTTCATTTTCTTTACAACCGTTGCACATACTGAAATGAAATTTAGTGTACAGATTTATCACATAAATACAGTATCTAGGTCAAATTTTGTTTTGGGTACGATCGCACCATTTTTGACAGAGTTATGCCCCTTGGACTTGGAAAAATTCCAATTTGGGGGGAGGGGGGCATAAGTGTTTTACAAACATCTCTTGTTGAATTGAGATTTTAGATGGAAGGCAGATTATGGCATATATTTTTTTGTAAAATAAAGATGGTTTAGTTCTACTTTCAGCATGTTTTAATTCAAAAAATGTTAATTTCTTGGAAAATGCCATGAAAAATTCAATTTTCGATACCTTGAACAATTTGGAATTTGTACCCATTTGAAAAAAAAGAATGAAAAGATATGATGAAATCTCAAGAGAAAATTCATTGTTTTGTACAATTACTTGTATTCTGTTTTAGACAACAGATGAGGAAACCCAATCCAGTACAAGAAAAACTTCTAAACATGTCAAAAAGAAAACGGAAAAACCAGAGTCCAAGAAACAAAAAGTGGATAAGAAGAAAGAGAAGGACAAGTCAAAGGAAGGAGAGGAAGAAGAGGAAATGGAAGAGGGAAAGGAGGAATCCACAGAGGAAGGAAAAACAGAGGATAGCAGTAAGGAGGAAAAATCCCCCAAGAAACCAGTGATAGAGTCAGATACGGAGGAAACGGAGGGGGTGGAAAAGTCAGAGGAAAAAGTGGAGGAAGGGGTGGAGGAAAAAAAGGAATCCAAGGGGGAGGAGGAAAAAGACATTGTGAATGAGGTAAAAAAAATTAGTTCTTTTGTGAATGAGGTAAAATATTTGTAAAATAAATTTTTCTGTTAAAATGAATTGAATAATGCATGCACTTGTACTTTTTGACAATGTGGATCTCATTTTATTTACTTGATATTTGCATGTATTTAAGAATTTAAAAATCGTTTTTAAAAAAAGTGTGCTTTTTAAACAGTTGAAAGAGGAAATCCCAAAAGAGAAAGAGAAATCGGTGAGTATATCTTGTCTATTGTCAATGATGAAAGGAAAATTATTACTGTAGATCACTTAATTTTCGCGAAACCTTATTTTCGCGAGATAGTCATTTACTCTTTATAAGCGAGACAAAATTTTTACGAATTGTGGTCATTGCTCTATATAATCTTAAGGAATACTATTAAATGCGAGAATGAAATTTTCGCGAGCATATTGTCTCGCGAAATTACGCGAAAATAAAGTTCTCGCAAATAAATAGTGATTTACAGTAAATAGAAAATCTGTAGGAAAGTTGATTTTTTTTTTTTTTTATCTAAAGAAGATTCTCTTTTGTCTTGTCAAATAGAAGGAAGACGTAGAGAAAGAGAAGAAAGCTAAAATTGCCAGGGAAGAAGCCAGACGAGCCAGAGAGGAGGAACGCCGACGAAAACAGGAAAGAGAGAGGGAAAGGGAACGCAAAATGTAAGTCAGGGCCATAGAGGTTTGACTTGGTCAAAAAAACTAGTATAGATTAAGAGAAGAGGGGTTTATCATGTTGTACTTGTAACCTGGTTTATCATGTTGTACTTGTAACCTGGTAACATGAACAATAAATTTTTCGGGGGTATTATTAGGAAAAAAAACTGATTCTGATCTGTTGTTCATTTATAGCTCATATGGGGTACCCCTGCTTGTACATGTAATATTTAAAAATAGGAATCAGTAGCATGGTTACTCTGGTAGAAGGGTTGCCTTTAGACTGATCTAGGGTACCATTTGTTTTGATAATAAGTGCATAATGCATGGGAATTACCATTTTTGAAGACTAGGTGTAAAAATAAAATAAAATTTGAAAATTTCTTTTTGTAGCAAAGAAAGGGAGGAAGAAAAAGAGAGAAAGAAGAAGGAAAAGTATGAACAAAAGAAGAAAGAAAAGATCAGTTGTAAGTGACAAGTTTCAGAAGTTGAAAAGTGAATGTTAAGAAAGTTGTCTTAGTATGCATGTCTTCTTTAAAAATTGCATGAAAATATTGGAAGGAACATTTATTGAAAAAGTAGATTTTTTAACAACAAAATGAACTTTTTATAGATCAACATGCACCTGCTGATTGATTCATTTTTCTTGAATACATTTATAAATGTAATGCCCTGTTCACACGGAGAATTTAATTCGAATTAAACGTAAAGTTACTGCGAATTAGCTTCGCTTAGCATTCACACGGAGAATTTGATGCGAATTAGTTTAATTCGAACTACTTTACTGTGCATTAAATTACTTCGCATTAGCTCCGTGTGAACGCTAAGCGAAGCTAATTCAAATTAAATTCTTATGCATGCGTAATGGCAAAATTTAGTCAAATGCCACTTGTCAGTGGTCAGCTTTAGGTACTTGTGCTATTTTTGAGTGAAAAACTAAGGAAAATTTTGTTAATCATTAAAATGTGTATGCAGACACTTGCCAGTATGGCAAATGGATCTGCTTCTGCATAAGTTGATTTGCAAATGACGTTATAATAGCCGTGCTGATGCCGGGCTGCAGAAGTAAAATTTTAATTCGCATTAGTTTACTTCGCATTAGCTGTCATGTGAACGCAATTTAATTCGCATTAGTTTGTTTTGTATTAGTTTACTTCGCATTAATTTACTGCGAATTAAACTTGTCGTGTGAACAGGGCATAAATTAATTTTTGATAAGACTAATGTTCACATATAGGAATAATGCCTGTAAACTTTTTAGAGTTTTGTAAGTTTACATTCCATTTTAATTTCTCTTTATCCAAGCTGTAATGAACATGCCATGGCAAGTAAACTGATGTTGAAGACCTGATTTGCTATTTGTGTTTCAGTTATTCACACGGAGGGTATATTAAGTGCTATGGACAATGAGATTAAACTGTGTGTCCAGAGGGAATCAACAGTAAGTATCACATCTCTAAGCATATATATTACATATAGTCTTATAGTCAGCCTCATTATCCGAGTATTCTAGATATCAAGGGTAAAATTCTTAAAAGATATATGTCCAGGACTTCATATCCTCAGTATAAGAATGCTGAGTATATATCTGATACCAAATTTCAACTGTTTTAAAACATTCTGTAGATCCGTGTATTCGGGAGAACCTTTCCCCCAACCCCACCCCCATAATTTTATTATTGTACTAAACTAAAGCTGTTCAAATTTTGAATGCTTTTCTAATTAGCATTTTGTCATGCTGATCTAGAAAGGCTTTGGCCAGTCAAAACCTTAATGAACAAAAATGTTAATATTTTTAATGTTGTTATTGTAGGATGTGGACAAGTGTCTAGCCATTATGGAGGATTTGGATGCTCTGCCTGTTAATCAGGTCATGCTGAAGAAAAACCCAGACATCATGAAAACCATTAAAATGGTAAGTTACCAACCACTAAAACTATCAAAATGGTAATGATATACATGAAAACTATCAAAATTGAAAATGGTAAGTTATACCATCAAAATGGCAAGTTACCTTAAAATCCATCTAAAGCATTACATGTATGTAAGTTACCATCTTGATCACCTTAATCTTCTTGAAAACCACCATGAAGTCATAACAGAAGCAACAAAATGGTAAAGGTTAACAATATTGTAAACCTTACAGATGGTAAGATATCTTGATAATCATTCAGAATGATAAATTGTGATGAAAACCAATCCACATGGTTTGTCAGGAAATGGAAACATTTAACCATAAAAGGGAGAATCATAACTTTTCCCAAAGGAAAACTTGCACCTATTTTATACAAAATAATTATTATAGTCATTACAGTAATTATGCAGAATAAAGTTGGGTCCAGCATTACACACGTTGGGACAAATATTTAACCTGTTTAATAGAGATGATAAGGTCCTATTTTGAATTTTACTTGTATTTACAGCTGAGGAAATATAAAGGCAGTGAAAAGATCCGGTTAAAAGCAGAGGTTATCTACCATAAGTTTAAAGCCTTCTTCTTACAGGGAGATGGGGATCTTAGTACAGTATGTCATACATTTTGCTATACCACAGTGCATCTGTATAATTTAAGGTGCATTGACCCTCTGATAAGAAAGATAACTCTTACTGTGATAAATAAATTTTATTTTTCATAATAATCAAGTTGAAAGACCATGTTTCAGAAAACTTGAAAGTACTTTAAATAGAAAGTTTTTGTATAAAATAAAATTTACATTGTTGTGTGGGTTTTGAATATTAAAATCTTTGGTTTCAGATAATGGAACATCATCATCATAAAAAGCATAAAAATACGGAGACCAAAGAACGAGAAAACAAGGAAAATGAGATATCTCGCGCAACAGGTGAGTTAGAATGGAATTTTATATGATTTATGTTTGTGCTTTGCAATTTGCTCTAAATTTGATATGTATACAAGTTTAAATTTTTCACAAAATCCATACATTATACAAGTACCTGTGCAGTGTATGTAGATAAATATATATTATTATAACAGTAACTTGATCCGAAGGGTCGTATCACGTCGAGTTGACAGGCGCGGATCATCAGATCTAACGAGACGCGAAGCGTCAAGTTTGATCTGATGATCTGTGCCTGTCAACGAGAAGTAATACGGCTCTTCGGATCAAGTTACTGTTATAATGATAAATTTATTATATACCCCCTTATAACTGGCTAAATATATTTAAATAAACCTTTAGAGATAAATTGGATAATATTAATCCATTAAACACAGCATAATAACAAGGGACTTTTTAACGTGCAAGAAAAATAACGTCATATTTCTGCGCACTACGTCATCAGTTTCAGAGAGTGGTGATATGGATTCAGAAAACAACATGTTGGTGATCCGGAAAATCGGATCACGACATCACGTGATAGCGTAAATTCAACAGTAAAATTGGTTGATACACATTAGGTATATAATAAATCATTTGATGTGCACATGCAAGTATACTCAAATAATTTTGACATTTTTCAGAAGTGACATCCAATGTGAACGACTCAACAGACGGAGTAGAAACTCGGCTAGGAATGGATAGTGACGTAATTCCAGGATTAGACCGAGTGTCCGAGAGCGGTCTGGACGCCTCTGCGAGTGATTCGGAACTGACGAAACGTATCGAACAATTAACGGGGGAGGTGGTGGCCAAACTGGAGTCCTGGCCGTCAGACAGTAGTGATAAAGAAGACGGTTTTAAAAGTTTAAAAAGCTGGCCAGAATTGCCTCTGTTGCCAGGTTTATCATTTGATTCTTCTAAGACTGCAAACCATTCGGAAAAACCTAGTATTGATGGAACCAGTGAAATCGCAGCTACGGATAGTGATGTTAAAGTGAATGAGGTTAATTCGAGTGAAAATAAAGATGAAAAAGTATCAGAGAGTGACAAAAGAGAAGAGAAAACGTCACCTTCAAAGGAAAGTGAAAAATCAGATAAAACAAAGACAACTGAACCTGCGGCAGAAAAGTCGGTTTTCTCTCCCCCAACAAATACGTATAGAAGGACATCTAATATTCTTAGTTTACCATTACCGATGATCGACGATGATTCGCAGGATGCGGGGTCGGAAGACGATGCAATGGATATTTCTCCTGTAGTTTCCCCGAAGAAAACGTCTAGTACTAAAGAGACCAAAGCCAACGTGAACCAATCACCAGAGAAAGAGGAGGAAGATCCTTTAGATGAACAGGTAAAAATCAGTGAAAATGAAATTTTTTGGTCTTATTGACTAGTCTATGCCACATTTTTGTCCATCTCAATCACTTAGTTTCTTTCATCAGAAGTGCTTTGAACTGGTAATTTGAAGCACTTTACTGATTTACAAAATGTTTTATAAAGAAAATAAATTTTATAAATTCCCATTTAGACAATTTGAATGGAATTTCAAGTTGCCCTCATGAAAAATAGGTTGCAAATGGCGAGTAGGCGACTGCTAATTTCAAAACCTGAATTTAATATGGAAATATGAATCTCTTGCCAAATTAAACAGAAATAGTGATAGTTTTATTCTTATGACGTGCATTTTCCATTGATCCTTAAATGCCTGTGTTTTGCTTTTCACCAGGAGAGAATAGACCTTGATGCAAGGATACAAGCGATAATGGCCAGCAACACACTCAACAACCTAGAAACAGAAGATAGCAATGGACCAGTGTCACCCACAGATGAAAAACCGGAGAAAGAAGAAGAAGAGGAAATCCTCAAACCTGTGCTTAAAAAAGACATTTCAGTGAAAAAAGTAGAGGTACCCCCGAAAAAAACAGAAAAAGAAGGGGACTCCGATGCAGAACCAATCATGGACGATGACGAACTTCATAGTTTATTAGGAATTTAATGCAATGATCAGAGCTTGGATTTCACAATTATCATGGTTATAATCTGTACTGGTACGTTACGTGTGGGTGTATCATTTGCCCGCGATGATATCACGCCCATGTAAAAAGCTCATCTAAGCTGCTGGTTGATAAAGTCCATCTGCGCCATTGATTAAAAAATGATCCTATTGTTAACTGGTACAGAAGTTTGGGAAACATCCAGAGTTTATCTGTTCTGTTCTTGTAGTATGCTTACTGTGCAGTGTCTATCCCATTGTCACAGATACCTTGGGCTACTTTTTAAAATGTAAAAATTTTATCAAAGAAGGGATAATATCTCTCTGCAGGTCAATGTGTATTGTAGAAAGTTTTCAGATTGAAATGTTTTCCTGAAAGAAACTGGACCTTTAAAGGGTAAAGTGCTTGTACTGTATGCAACATTATTTTTCACCCCCTAATACTTTTGAAAACAATTTTGTGACTTTTCTGAAATCATGTTTATGATTATAATCAAATAATGTGTATCAAAAAAAAATGATAAAAGTAAATATGTCATTGATCTTAAATTTAAATCCTTTGCCAAATGTTTGGAAAATATTCTTTCCAATCTTACCTTTTCTTAACGGTTTTAAAAATTTCAATGTTTGCAAGTTAACGGAACTTTATAGAATTGATTTGATGTAATAGATTGTAAATTTAAACATGTTAAAGGATGCAAAATGGATAAACACTGATCAAAGCTATATATATAAATTGGAATCGTTATCCGTTTACTGTATGCAGGAAAATTTTCATCCGTAGTTTATTTTCTTGTCTTGCTCAGGACAGAAGATTGGTTTATTTAAGTAAGACATACACAGTGTCTTAGGCAAATTGAAAATGGTGGAATATTTTGTTTGCAAGTTGATTAGAGCAAAAAAAGTAGGATAAGATTAACCCTGTATACAATAATTGAAATGCCTATAGACATGATAGAGCATGATACGGGACACACATTTTTTGTTTCCAAATTTGATAAGGTACCTAGGTAGTTTAATGAGATATTCCTGTTGTGAAAACATATTTTTCCTTTTAAATATTTTAAAGTTTTTTCTATTTATCATAGACAACAGACCAGTGAAAAGCTAAAAGTAAATTTAGTAAAACTTGGTTTACATAGAACTCGGTGATAAGAAAATCTTGGTTATAAGAACTTCTTTATGAATCCCCTTGGCAAATTTTACTTTGTTTATAATGTGAATAATCTGAAGAATTCCAATTTTTATCAGGACCTAATACTGTAAGTGTATGATATTTGGCGGAAATTAATTTATCTGCTGTAGAGATGTAAATGTATGATAAACAAGACCATCAGTGATGTACTTGGCTTAGTGGACTCTGCTTTCTGCCAAATTTCTTACATAGAATATACTGCTAGGTGTAATTCATTTAAGAGTATTCAAAGTGTCAGTGACTTCTTTTTTACCACGTTTTACTCTAATCAATTCTAGAGTGTAGCAAAGAGGAAGAATATTTTTCTTTGTAAATTCTGATTCTCTTAAAATCTGAAACCATTAGAACTTCCATAAAGATTAGAAAGCTTGTATTAGTACAAACTTTTTGCTTTACTTAAAGTAATTAAGGATTTGTCATGAAAGGGTTGACTGATAGTACCAATGCAGGAACATTTTTTAAGGAAAAAAACTTACTGATCATATAATCATTGCATTGTCATTTATCAACCATAGGTCATATCACCTTGTATTTTAAAAATACATAATATCACTGTTTATGTGTATGCATTGACTGAAATCTTTTAAAGATCAGAATAAAAAAATTAAAGAGCAAAATTTGATTTTTTTTTTTTTTGCCTTGAGGAAGAAAAAACAGCTTTTGGGAGGTACAGTAAAACAGAGAAGTTGATAACAAACATATTTATAATTCATTGACACTTATATATTGCACTGACACTTAATAGCCAAGTGATTTTTACCTCATCTTGAACAGACTTAAGTCAAAATTTCAAGCCAATCTAACTTTTGCTTAATTTTGGTTAAAGCAAAATTTTGGAGCATTTGTCCATTTAAATTCAATTTAAAATAGCTAAATTTTAAGCAAAATTTTTTAATGGATGATGCATCTAGATATAAACACAAAATTTTGCTTAGGTTGCTGTTCTGTTTTACATTTTCCAGATGAGTGACCAGGTTAAAGTTTTTGGAGCAGGTCCATTCCCAAGTAACTGCTGAATCTGACCTACATTTAACTGATAACATTCCTGGAGGTAAGCTTCGTAATCTTAGATTACCTATGTTTAAACATACTGTTTGCATTATGAACAATTTTTCTTAATCAAAAGTGGATTCAAAACCAACAAACCGATTTTTGGGATTTCAATGGGCACCAACTTTGCTCCATTTTTAGCCGACCTGTTTTTATATTTCAATGAATTAGTAATAAATTGGTACAAAGTACTCTTGGGTAAAGGGAGTTTAAATTGCTTAAGGGTAAAGTTTACCCACTTCTCAAAGGGGAAATAATCAAGAAAAACAAGATGGGGTCATTAAAAAAAAAATCTCAACAGGAACCACGAGATCAGAAAAGCCGAAACATATGTGAAAGCATCTTGGTCTAGTGTAGATATTCTACATTGTTCAAACCATGACCCAGAGAATAGGGTTGGGCCACACTAGGACATGGAAATATAATAAGGAAAACTTATAAAAATCTTTTCTCTTGACCCACTGAGCGTGAAAAGTTGAAATTTATGTGGAAGCTTCCCGACGTAGTGTAGATTCTACGTTCTTAAAATCATGCACCTTCATGTATCTCCTTTATAAATCAACAAATGAAGATGAAAATGTAGTAGACATTTCTAGCGATTTGCTGAATCTCGTTTGTTATACCGGGTAAATATATTTTCTATATGTGTAAACAAAAACAAGGCACATTGAGCTTTGTAAATTTACATTACGAAGACTTTAAATTTAAGTTCTGTATCTCCTTTATAAATCAACAAATGAAGTTGAATTTTTGCTGCATGATCATGAGAATCGTCTTTACATTAAAATTGGTTTTAAAAAAACCTGTTGAAACTTTGCCCATGTCCCTTTATTTAAGAACAAAAACAATGATCAAAATGAATCCTTTTATTGTAAAATAAAATGACTGTAGAAAAATATATGGTACCCCAACAGTGTACCTCTTTCATATTAATAAAATATGAGAAACACAATCATCTATTGGTACTTTAAATCATCTGGAATTTCAACATGATTTGCATAGAATTAAATTGTTACATTTTCTTTGTTTAAAACATGATTCCTCAATGCATGTGCTTCTAAAGCTAAGAAAAGTCGTCTACACATAAGCGGCATGTTTAATAATACGTTCAATTTAAGAAAATCCAAGTTCATATTAACATTGTTGAATGCAATATCTTATATTAATATACAATTGTATCAAGACCCCCCACCACCACACACACACACACACACACCTCACACGATATTGATCACAAATTTATCCGACAAATTGATCGAGAAAACACATTAAACTGTACAACAAACATTGCAAATGACACAAATATGCTAGTAGTCTGTCAAAATCTTTTACAAGTAACATGTAATTATATGTACCTTTTAAAAACGGAAATTCTACTTTAAAAATACCCTAGTTTATAAATTAAAATTGACTTTTAAAACTAGTAAGCATGATATTTTTATCATTTTTTTTTTAGTATTGCTGTTATAACCCTCTTGAAAAAGCTGCAAGATGACTTCTGTTTTTCCAAAATTTCTTCAGAGCTAGGTTTTGAGAAACCCACCTAAAATTTTTGCTGTTCTTGACTTATTGCCAAAGTTTTATTTTAGGACCATTTCCAGTTTAGTTTGGACTTTCAGTAAGACGTGGCACTCTTGACGTTTCCTAATTAGCTTATGAAATTTACATAGTTTTCCTTCACTGTTAAAATTTACATAGGATTGTAATTCGGCCGAATGTCAACTGGTGTAGCAAATAGCAAATTAAAAGTTCTCTCACGTCACAGAGGTGGGGCATAAGTCGTCCAATCATTTGTCAACAAAATTTTTTTAAAGTTCCTGATGTTATTAATGTCTTAACCAATGAGAATCTACTAGTATTTGCCATTACGTAGCGCCGAGAAAGTCACGCCTTACTGAAAGTCCAAGCTAACCTGAGAACTGTAATATTTTTCTCGTGGTACATGTATATGTACATGCATCATACATGTAAAGGTGAGTAGGTCTCGGAAAGGGACATTGAAGCATCATTTATTTCTGTCCATTATCTCCTCCATTCAATTTCTGCTTTCTCTCCTTTTCAAGGCCCCTCAATGAAATTTTATTCCTCTTCAAAAACCTAGCCACCCATGTCACACACCCACTGAAATCGTCAATTTTCAACATCTCTGCAAACTCAATTGCCTTTTGGCGTATGATCTCCACAGACAATACATTCCCCCACTCAATTTGTTCAAAAGACCAACTCCTCAACAAAGCATCAAGATCAGGCCAGTCAGATCGGCCAGGTTTAAGCTTCTTTAAGTTCTTTTTACTATTTTCAAGATTGGTTTTCTGTTTTCTCCAGTAACGAACAAGTTTCTCACCCACTCCGTACCTTCGCTGAGCGGCCATATTGTTTGTCTGAATGGCGTAGTTCACGACCTCCAGTTTGAATTGCGAGGTGAAGCTTCTTCTTTGTACTGACCTGAGGTTTGATATAGCATTGTCTATCTCCGCATCTGTTATCTGAAGCTGAAAAACAAATAAACTATTACATGAAAAGAGATTAAATATTGTAAGGAGGGGATATACATGGTACCTGTTCTTGAATTTCTTTTCTAATGGTTAATTAATATATATATGTATCATACAAGAAAATAAGAATGGGCGTCGCCCTCATCAAACAAGATGCCCATGGGCCACATTGCTCACCTGAGTAACTTTGGTGATGCAGTTTTTTTTACCAGGTTTCCCCTTATATCTATTGTGACCCCCTACCCCCCCCCCCTCCCCCCCCCCCCTTACCCACCACCAGGCACCAACCCGTCTTGATTTTAAGAATTTAGAATCTACACTACTCCAGGATGCTTCAACATGAATTTCAACTTTTATGGCCCTGATTTTCCAGATTTTTCCTATATATTTCTACATAAAACTTCCATATTGTGGCCCTGCCTATCCCTGGGGGGTCAAGATTTTAACAATTAAGAATCTACACTTCCCCAGGATGCTTCAACATGAGTTTCAATTACTCTGGTTCTTGAGAAGATTTTAAAAGATTTTTTCTATATATTTATATGTAAAACTTGGATTCCCTATTGTGGCCCCACCCTACCCCCTGGGGTCATAACTTTAACAATTTAGAATCTACACTACCCCAGGATGTTTCCATCGGCTGTTTTGGGCCAGTGGTTCTTGAGATTTTTTAATGACCCCACCCTTCCTTGTCTTTTCTTGATTATCTCCCCTTCTGAGGGGACTTGGTCCATTTAAATAATTTAAATTCCCCTTCATCTAAGGATGCTTTGTACCAAGTCTGGTTAAAATTTCCCCGATGGTTCTTGAGAGGAAATTGAAAATGTGAAAAGTTTACAGACGGACGGACTACAGAAAAAATATACATATTGGCTACAGAATGTGTTTAGAATTGGGGAGTGAAAGGTAAATAAAAGTGCGCAAAAAATATTGCGCCGTAAATTACACCTTTATTGCATCACGGGATCTGTAGCGTTATGGTCAAAGACAAATATATGAAACCATAACTACAGATCTGCAGCTTGGAGCCCAACTGAACATGTTAAATGATTGTATGTACCCCCCCCCCCCCTTCTCCTTTGCTTTGCAGAAAAGTAAGTACTCATGCATTGTTTCATGCTGAATTTTCTCACACACTAACATGACTAGTCCGAAAAATCTGGCGTTTTACAGGCATTTTTACGATTTTGATATTTTACATGCCAGGAAAACGTCACAACCGGCGCCATCGTAAAAAAGCCTGGAAAACGCCAGATTTTTCGGACTATAACATGACAAATCTAAAATGTTTCATGAAAGATTCTTATCTTGCACAACATTCCTGTTAAAGAATATCAATACACCCTTCTTAAAAAATACGTTAATTCCAGACCTGCCTTAAATTCCCCTTTCAGTTCAAGGGTGTGATTTCAGTAAATGTTTGGTGGAATTTAAAAAGTTAAAGCGTAATCAATCAGGTTTTCCTATTTTGTTGTGCTACTATAATATCGTTTAGCGGGTTATCTTGACAGGTGTAAAATTAGGAGTTTTGCCTGCTCAAAGGTATACCAATAATTTTGGCGTAAAATTTAAATGGGCTACGATCGTAACGCCAAAATAAGTACCAGTACCCCGCTAAAACAACCCGCTATACGGTAATTTATTTTCTTTCAAAACAACAGAATTTATTACTTCTGATCCCATGTTTTCAGTGGTCCTTCTTTGCCTTGCTAACAACTTGTATAGTTTCATTACATGTATATTGATTAATTGTTTGATTGTATAGCCCCCCCCCCTTTACTCAGTATTTCCAAAGATATACATATTAATTTGCTTCGAAAATTGGATTGACCTTTTTTCGTTGGTAAATTTTTCAGTGTTTTTTTCATTGGTTTAATGAAACACTTAATATTGCTTTGAAGAAAATATAAATGAAACGACTGTAAGTTATGATTGAGTATAGAATATTCATTAAGGAGGTAAACTGCAAGCAGAACTTCTTTCATACAAACTTTCATGGTAATTTGTCTTTGGATTTCTCTGTTTATCCAATCACAACAAAGTGTGTACGGTGGATATGATAAATTTGAAGAAATGCTTACTCCTTTATGACATCTGATTCCATGTTTTAATTGGTCCTTCTTTGCCTTGCTAGTACAACTTGTATTGTTTCATAACATGTACATTGAAAAGTACAGTAAGTGATCATTATCTTTTGAGTACATGAAAGATACGTTATGCATAGGCGTCGGAACAAGAGGGTTATAAAGGGGCCCTAATCCCCCCCTTGTTTCTTATCCTTTTGCTTGTCAATAAAATATGTTCAAACAAACCTTTTTTCATTGGTTAGGACCCCCCACCCCCCTTCAATTAGCCATCCCACTTTCAATTTGATTCCAACTCATATGTTTTGTATGTACTTTCAATTTGAAAAAAATAAAACTATTAAATTTAATTTGAAATTTTTATTTAAAAAAAATAACAAACATGTATTCAAATATGCATGTTTTGAAATATATACACAGTAAATTCATTTATCAGTACACAGATTTGGAATTTCAGCATGATATGTAAAACGAAAAAAAAGTTCAATGTTTGAAACACGATTCTTTAATTGTTAGAAAAAATAATGTTATTTGTCATTAATACTTAAAATTTAATTAAAGTCGTATAAAAAAAAAAACATTATTGTGGAGAACACATACAATATTCTTCACATTTTACAAGTAAGTGAAAGAAATAACATTTTTTAAAACTACTCCAAGATCGTTGATTTTATTTTGAAGCAAATATTACTCTAAAGTGATTAATAAAATGGTAAAGTCTGCAAATAATAATATGTTAATTCATAATTTTTCAAAATAAACAAACGTGTTTTTAAAATTCATCCAAACACATTATTTAAAGGAACAGAATCACTGGATATCCACTATTTACCTTCATAAATTAAAAAAAAAATCCTGATTTTTTTTTTTTTACAGCTGTTACATGGAGCACGTAATTTGCCTGCCAAAAATTAGTTTCAAACATGGTAAAATCGAAAGTCTCATTTTGCGTTTATCATATCTTTAGTAGGATTCTCAGTTAACCTTGGACTTTTCAGTAGGGCGTGACTTTCTCGACACTACGTAATCAACATCTCTCAAATGGGGAGTAGACTCTCATTGGTTAAAAAATTGAGAAAATCAGAAACCTTAGATTGTTGTTGACAATGATGAGACAACTTATGCCCCAAATCTCTGCCATACACCGGTCACGGTAGCCTAGTGGTAGAGCGTTCGCTTCGAGATCGGTAGGCCCGGGTTTGATTCTCGATCACGGCGCCGCATCATACCTGAGACGTAAACAAAGGTAGTGACTGTTCCTTCGCCAAGCGCTCGGCACTAGAAGTGAAAGTCACGGGTCTTTCGGATATGACCTTAAAAACGTAGGTCCCGTGTCACGGTAGGCGTTGGCACGATAAAGAACCCTCACTGCTCAATGGCCCTGAGTGCCGAGTATAGGTCTAAATTTGAAGCCCTTCACCGGCATCGGTGACGCCTCCATATGAGTGAAAAATTCTCAAGAGGGACGTTAAACAATATACAATCAATCTCTGCCATACAGAGCACTATCATTAGATCATTGATACATAAGAGTATGTTGACTTTCACCAGAATGTATATTTTAACAGTGAATGAAAGGCTGTGCAAATTTCAGACAATTTTTTTAACATCAAGAATACCATGCCTTACTAAAAGTCTAAGGATAACAGAGAATTGTACAACATGTATTACCAAAGTACCTGTAGAAAATTATCTAAAATATTCAGTTTCCCCATCACCTCAACCAGATAAAATCCCAAATTTCATCACTATATCAAAGACATATGCAGAGAGCCTCTACATCATTCATTTTCCCAATCTACTCGAGAATTTTTCGATCTTCTCAGCATTTTAACATGCTTCAATGAAATTTTGTTCCTGAACAGAAATTTTCCCACCCAGTTATTTGACCCTCGAAATCCCTCAATTTTCAACATCTCAGCAAACTCCACAGCCTTTTGGCACATTACTTTAATAGAGAGAACAGTTCCCCACTCTTTCTGTTCCAAAATCCAACTTTTCAACAAGGCCTCCAGATCGGGCCACTTGCTACGACACGGGGTGAGTTTCCTTTTGTCTGCTTTGCAGTTTTCGAGTTTTTTCTGCTGTTTCCTCCAGTAACGAACTGATTTTTCATTCACGTGGAATTTCCGTTGGGCAGCACGGTTGCCCTGCTGCAAGGCATAGTTAACGACCTCCAGTTTGAATTTCGGGGTATAGCTTCTTCTTTGAATTGGGTTGTATCTTGTTATGGCAAGTTCTACTTCACCATCAGTCATTTGTCGCTGAAAAAAAGGAAAATGTGTCAGATTTTAAGTTTTGTTTTTTCTTTTTGTCTTTCAGATTTGAAAAGTTCTTAATTTTTACTACTTCGAAGCGTGAACCCAGGCAACATATATATAGTGGGTAGAGGACAGAAAGAATCCCATTGCAAAAAACTCTAGATGGAGATGCCAAGGAGTCAGGAAAGTTTTTGAAAGGTGTGACACATTCTAAAGACTGATTTAAACCTATGCCAGGGAATACAACTTACATTGAACATGAGGTCACAAAGCTTATTTTCATCTTGCATACAATTTGCTTTAAAAACATTCAGGAATTTATAAACAAAGATACACCAATATAAAACTGTCAATACATGTATATGACTACCAGTTTGTCTATGATATCATTACTTTTGGCATGAAATCAGTTGAAAATACTGGGTCCTAATAATTGTTGAACAAAAAGACGATAAAAGACAGAAAAAAAAAACATCCTTCAAAAGTTAGTTATCTTACAATGGGACAAAATGGCTGAAATTATATACTCAGTAATATAGGAAATTTCAAATGTTTTCTTTTTGTGTCATCATGGTCATGATCTATTATGATGAAGTCTTCAAGTGCAAATGTTAGCAAGTTAAGCAATAGGAAAGGTAAATGTATAACTTTT